CTGCTTTAAGATTAATTAATTTGTCTCAGTAATTTGTTGGAATTTGGACTCTGAGGGGATTTAGTGACAGCAATTTCTACATAGAAAAGGTTTGGCTCATGAAATAGCTGGGAAACCAAGATTAAGGCCAAACGTGATTGAAAGAAACAACAACAACAAAAAATATTTCCAAAACCTCTGCGGGAATTCCCTACTCCCACTGCTGCAGAGGATCAAAACCTGGCCTGGTGTGATTTCTAATTCCCTGTAAGGCTTTCCACAATGCAAATGTCACGGTGAAAAATTTGGCAATTGCTTTCAGGAAGGTAAGTTGCCCAGATCACTAGAAAATGTTTTGACATTTAAGTGACCCTTCCATTCTGTTTTATAAAAGAAGTTCCAATTAAGCTCAAAGCTCTCCTTTTATTTACTATCCTGGCCCTAAAAATGAAGGCCATGAAAAGTTGAATGCTAGTTTTGCTGTGGGAGCAGGGCTGAACACTCGGTGAGACAGAACAAGAACTCTCAGCCACCTCCCAAGAAGACAAGAACTGATTAAAATTGTTTTTTGTCTCAAAATTTATCACCATTTCCCCACAGCATTGTTTCTTTTCCCTTGGCTGTGGCCCAGTGCAGCTGCTAGTGCTTGGGGAACAGTCTAATGTTGGAAAGCTCTGGTCTTGGTTTTGCTACAAATTTATCATATAATGTCAAATAAGCCTTTTCATCCCTCAGAACCTCTGTGTTAACACTGGGTGTTATATGAAAACAATTAATCGTGGATCACTACATCAAAAACTAATGATGTATGGTGACTAACATAACATGATAAAATTAAATTAAATTAAAAAAAAAAGAACCTCTGTTTTCTTATCTATTAAATGAGGGGGTTGCACCAGGTCATTTCTGAGGCCCCTTCCAGCTCCTTCCAGTGTGTGCATTCATGGTCAGGAGTGATGGAAGAAGGCAGAGCTTGTGTAAGAGGGGACTCCCCCAGGGTGGTCCGCCATCCCCTGCTTCCAGCAGAAACCCAAATGCTAAAGCAGAACCCCTGAAGTGAGCTGAGGCTGAAGGGGGAACTCCACACTCAACTGAAGAGTCCAGAAATGAGACACAGACCTCAGCAGGTGCAGGCGGGCTCTGGCAATCTAGGAAGTTTGGGTTCCAGACTTATTTGAAATAATACTGGACAAAAGACACTCCTGTTTTCTCTCTAGTGCTAATTAGTATTCTTTCCTTGCAGGCTGTGGGAATCATACCAAAGTAGCTTGAGGAAAAAGGTGGAAATGGTTATATGAATAAAATCTGGACCTAGGAAAAAACTGGAAAGGTGAATCCTTCAGGAACCTAGGAAGTAGTCTCTTGCTTACTGTCTCTTGTCACTGCTTCCTCCTAGTATCTGGTCCCCCTCCCCCCATCCCCCACAGCTCTCCTCTTCCTCCTCCTCCTCCTCTCCATCCTCCTTCCCCTCCCCCTTCTTTTTTTTCTCCTCCCCTTATCCCTCCCAGCAGGCTTTCTCTACTCTCCATCCACATAGAGAAATAGGATCCCGCACTCCTGACTTTAGATGTTAAAGCTCTACTCATATCAAGAAAAAAACTAGATTTCCAATTTCCCTGGACAGAGGTGCTGAATGAACCAGGCATCTATGCTTTGTCCAACTGTGGCCAAAAACTGTTGGCAGGGATCAGGGTCGGGGGGTGGGGGGGTACTCAGGGGACCATGTGAATAGACAACAGTTCTAAAACTTCAACCATAAGGTCTCATCTTGTTAAGCCCTCCTCAGGTATAACGCAAACTTCGATCACTGGATTCCTTTTGTTCATTTGAAATGGGTTATATGAATGTTCAACCTCACTCACCTTCATGATGTGGCTAATGACCAAAAATAGTTTTTCAACTGTTGAGATTGATACTATTTTTTAAAGTAGTGCTATGCAATTAACCATAATCATATTTAAAATGAGAGCTCTTTAAATGCCTTTCAAAATCTCACTTAATTGCTGTTACTTTGTTCACATAATTCAGAATGTTTGACTCCAAAGATGATTTCCTCTGGAATTTCTTTTTGAAGTAATTTCCTTAGTCAATAAGAAACACTATGCTTGAGTTCCCTAATAGGTTATGTTTATAGCTTGCATTGTATGGAAATTCCAAATTGATGTCAGGACACTGAGGATAGCTTCAGGAATTGCAAGAAGGAAGAAAGAAATGGCCAGAGATATTTGAACACTTCTTTCCTCAACGAGCATCAAAGAAATGATTTGTTAGTTCCTATGAGAGATTTATAAAGCCTTTCCTTTCTTAGCTAACAAAACATATCAATTTATTTCTACTTACTCATTTATTCCCCCAGCAAGTAGTTATTTGCTGTCTACTCTGCAAAAATAACAATTTGCTAGATTCTTTTTTCCACATGTAACCAGATTGGTCATTTGTTACCAAGAGAAAAATGTGTTCCACTATGCCCAATTATGAGTTGCTTAAGAGTTATTAAACATCTACCAGAAACACATTTTCACAGTTTTGTAAGCTTTTTATTCCTGGGTGAAGAAGCACATGTAAAAAAAAAAAAAATTCAAATGATAGAAATAAATAAAGCAGAAGCTAAAATTCTCCTGTAACCACATCCCTTCCTCTGTTAAACAGTTTGCTTGTAAATTCTGGTAGATTTTTTCCTATGCGTACACTGATACAAATTATATATGCATGTAATTAACAAACATATAAATGCACATAGGACACATATACACATTTTTATAATAAAATGTACATACTATTCTGCAATTAGCTTTGGTCACTTGTCAGTGTATTATAAATATTTGCTTTTAGCTACCTCAACCCTTTAAAAGGCAACAAAATAATCCATTATTTGAATACAGCAAGTATCTTTCAAACTATCTCCTAATTATATTCATTGTAGGTTATTTCCAAGGTTATTTCCACTTTTTTTCTGTATGAACATTGCTACGACAAACATTCTTATCTGCATATCTTTGTTCACTTGAGTCAGCATTTCCAAAGAATGAAATCCTAGAAATGGAATTACTACACAAAGTATATACAGTTACCATTTAAGTAATGGCTGCCAAATTGCTTTCCAGAAAGCTTTTACCAAATTATAACCTCACCTAGAATTCATGGCAATACCTGTTCTCTATACCCTGGCCGGTGCGAAGTGTCTAATAAATCACTGCTACTTGTCCAGATTAAGAAAGTTCACTTCAATGTTTTAATCTGCATTTCTTAGCCACATATATTTACCTATGTTTTTTGGATTTCTTCTGACACTACCGATTTATTTTTCCTTGCTCACTTTCTATTGGATTCGTCTTTTTATACTGATTTGAGTGTGCTTTTGATAGTGTTGCTGTTAACCCTGTGTTGTCTGCACATTCATTGCCTCTTGTGTAACCTTTCTCCGGTTTCAATGGCCTTTCAGCAGGCCTATGATCTGAAACTAATACAAAAACTTAAATACTTGATGTAATCGAGAACATCCTTTTTTTCCCCTTTGTTTCCTGGTTTCTACCTCGTATCTTCTTGTATCAGCTTTCCCTGCTGCTGTAATGAATCACCACAAACTTGTGGTTTAAGACAACACACATTATTAGCGTGCAGTTCTAGAGCTCAGAAGTCTGACACTCAAGGTGTTGGCGGGGCTGCATGCCTTCCGCAGGTACTCGCGGAGAATCCATTTCCTCTCCTTTTCCAGCTTCTAGAGGATGCCTGCATTCTTTGGCTCATCCCCCTATGCTCCTTCATCTTTTAAATCTAGTGGTGGAGCATTTTCAAATCTCTCTCTCCCTCATCTACTTCCTCCAGCATACCTCCCATCTCTGTCTCTGATGCTGACCCCTGCCTCCCTCTGATTAAGACCCTTGCAATTACATTGCACCCACCAGATAACCCAGAATAATCTATGCATATCAATTAATTAAACATCTACTTTAATCAATCTGCAAAATCCTCTAGTTAGTAAGGTAACATGTTAACAGGCTTCAAAAAGTGGGACATGACAACTTTTACTGTGGGCTTTTATTCTGTCTACCATACATCTCCATCAAAGGATTATAAACATTACTCCTTGTATTATCTTCTACTATGTTGTGATTTTGATTTTTTACAATTAGAAAAATCTAGGCTTTATTTCAGTATAGTATGGACATTTATTTAAACCTCATAAAAGGGACATCTAGCTGGCTTAGTCAGGAGAGCATGTGACTCTTGATCTCAGGGTGGTGAGTTCGAACCCCACATTGGGCAATCAGCCTACCTTTAAAAAATAAACTTCATAAAAAATATACAAATAAACCTCCCTCTCTTTTATTTCTAGTGCTTTCCTTCTTTCTTCTATCTAACCTATAAGCTTGCTGAAGTCCCACACATTGGACAAACAAACGGAAAGTGCTCTTGACCCTGCAGCTTTCTAGTTACTGCCCCCCACCTTTGCTTCCCAACTGAGCTGCTCTGGGCTCTAGCCTCCGCTCCAGATAACACGACCTTAGTTTGCACTCCTTGACTCCAGGCTTCTGTCATCTCACATCTTCTCTCCCTGGAGTTCCTAAGTGTTCTCCTGCCCCTTCTCCGCAACTCCCCCTGCCCCATCTCATTCTCCATCCTCCTTGATGCTGCCAGAATGTTCTTCCCCAAATTCAAACCAACCATGTCACTTCCTGGCTGAAAACCCATCAGAATGTCCCCATTGCCTGCAGGATGCAATGCAAACTCAGTGGGGAGGTGTACCTGGAGCTACAGGTTTGGACCAGTGAGGACCTGTCCAGGTATCCCTCTGCCAAATCACACCGAGTGACGTGCGCTTCTGAAGATTCCCGATGTCTTCTTTTATTTCAGCCTTCTGAGCCTTATGCTCCTCTACCTGAAATACCCCACCCTTCCCCATATGTGCCAGCAAAGGGTCACCCTCTCCCAAGACCCAGCTCCAGAGTTGCATCCAGAGTCTTCCCTGACAAGCCTCCCTACCTCCCAATCCACATCTCATAGACCAGATTTATTATTACCTTATCAAGTTCTTTATTATTCACTGTAGCTTACGGAGACTCGGGAGATAGCACAGGGATTGTTTGGGGTGGCTTTCATAGTCTCTCAAAGTTGATGTGCTTCTCCACCCTAAGCCAATCGAAATAGACACACAATTACTGAAATACAAGGTGCTTGCCATGCAAATGACTTCTCCAGGTAAGTTCAGAGGAATGTGTTCAAAGGAACCAGCTCTTCTCCCTAAACCTCTTTATACTGTCAGGCATGAGGACAGGAAATAGATCCTATTCTATGTGTATAAATGAGAAAGGGATTGATTACAAGAATTAAGTGCTCATAAAAATGTTGGAAGGGCTGTAGGAGGAGCCAGGGGTGTCCTTGGAACTACTGGGTTCGAGAACACTCTACCATAGGAATCAGACAGACAACCCCACTGCTTCAACCCCACTGCTGCAGGCATTACAACTGTCTTATGAATCCCACAAAGCAAGTGACAGATAGATTGATTTCAGCTGCTGTACCTGCCTCTCAACACTCACTACTCTGAGCCTTGCTGACGGGTACATGGCTTCTGTCTTTCCTTTCCAAGTCTCAATAGGCCGAACCTATTTAACAGGGAGAATATTAGCTGCAAGAGAGTCTGGGGAAATTAGACTTAAGCTTTCTAGCCTTTTGCAACATAAGACAGGACACAGAAGGAGGTGGAATGTTTTGAGGTGGGGATTTTAGAACCAACTGACCATCCCAAATTGCCCCTCTTCTATAAATATTTCACAGCCACCATGGTTCTGTTCACATCTATCTGAGTACATGGAATATTCTCCTGAGGTTGTTTAGTATCTGCCTCTCTTCACAAGACCTCGAGGATGGGGACAGTGTCAGCTTCATCGTTATCTCACAGCACCTCAAGACTGATCCCCAAGCAATGCACACAACGGCGAATTAATATATGTGCACAGAGGGCCAGACGGTCTTGTGTACATATCCCTTCCTGCCTCACTACACACCCCTTGTCTTACTTACCTTTAAGATACATGCTCACAGCAACAGAAGAAATCAACCTATCTCAAGAGCACAGATTTTAGAATTAGAAAGGTTTGTGTGAAAGTCTAGATTGTGTGTGATTTTGAGAAATGTTTCCTCGCTGAGTTCAGTTTCCTTACCTTTCCTTCTTTGAGGGGCTTATTAGAAATGTTGAAGGTGGTGGTGCAGGAAAAGCCCATGACAGATGCTGAGCAAGGGCGAGGTTTTTGCCCCCTGCTACTGAGTCCCACCCTATCTATATCTCTTCGTCCATCTCACGTATCTGCAATCAGGAGGATAAGAACTAAAAATAACGTAATATGAAAGACACTACACAGAACATCAATTTCAACTTTTTTTTGCTGTAACTAATCATCTTAATTATTTTGTCCCTTTAGAGTCTTTTATCTGAATATTTCAAAGGATGTTACAAGCATGAATTATGATACATAATTGATAACTAGAGTAGCTGAGGCTTAGGGGCTGAGAGATTTGTCAGTTGTCTTGTGATCCTCATAAAACCAGCAGCCTACTGGGTTTTTGCTATGCTTTTTTTTCCTCTTCTTCCTTCTTCTCTTCCTCTTCTTCTTCCTCCTCCTCTCCCCTCCCCCCTCCTCCTCTCCTCCTCCTCCTCCTCCTTCTTCTTCTTCATAGTAGTAGTAGTAGTAGTAGTAATAGTAGAGTGTTCTGACCAAATTTACATGTTTAAGGGCAGAGAAGTGTAAGAACTGGGGAGACAGGAACCGAACTATAGGATTACTTTCCTGCTTCTAACCTGGTAAAATTTAGGGAACATTTTTTTTTTTTTTAAGATTTTGAAAAGACTTTTATCGAGAGAAGTTTTGTCATGGGTTTTCTTTCTTTTTTTTTTTAATTTCTGTTAGTGTTTCTTTTTTTTTTAATTTTTTTATTGTTATGTTAATCCCCATACATTACATCATTAGTTTTAGATGTAGTGTTCCATGATTCATTGTTTGTGCATAACACCCAGTGCTCCAAAATTTAGGGAACATTTTGAGTTTTATCATAGAGTTTATTTTTTCCTCAGATTTTTGAAGCTTCGATCTTTAGCACATTAACATGGTATGGGGGGCCATAGAGTCAGTTTTATCCCCAACCCTTCTTTTAGTTCATTCTGGGACTGGATTGAGTAAGTAAGATTGACAGTCTGGCTTTTGAAGCGTCCTGTCTGAATTGATTGAGCTGAGCGATGTCCAGTCCAGCTCAGTGGTTCTGTGAGCCTTTGTGCATAACTCTGAGGCCGTGACAGTGAGGAACAACAGCACTTTTCATCAGTGGTGTACAAGAAGCCAAAAATACAGTCTCTGTGCCTTCCTTTCCGAATAGAAGCAGCAGCAGGTAGCAAAGAAGAGTGAATCACGACTGGTCCTTGCCAGGGCCAGGGCAAAGAAACCATCAAGTTGGGAACTGAGAGTGCCATGCAGAGGCCGAGCGAAGCCGGGGAGTAAGCTGAGAAGGCAGCTTACAGCCGAGGGGCTGAGGTGCTCACTCCCAGCCTGGCAGGCACCAAAACCACTGAGCTACTGGGGATTCTGTTTGGTGAGGCAATCTGCAGCTCTTCACTCTAATAAGATGCCAAATACTTGAAATGGGATTTTTATGCAGGAGCCTTCCACATAATGACTTGGGCCCTTCTATGAGTACATCTAAACTGTGTAGGCATGCGAACTAAAGAAAAAATGTAAAAAAGAAAGAAAGAAAGAAAGAAATCAGAACGTGATTACACTAAAAAAGAGACCTTTGAAAATGGGTAATCCAACTCTTATCCACCCTTATCCCTCTTCCTTTTTAGGGATAATAAAAATGAGAATGAGAAGAGAAATTAATGATTTGCTCAAGGTCATCCAGCTTATCAGAATCTGAGTTAATTTAAGCCATCTGATTCCTAGATCAAATCCCACTAAAGTATAGGTTATATTTGCATATGCCTTTGTGAATTATACTTGGCTACTTCTGGACTCAATTGGAATCAGAAAAAAAGGCAGAAAAAAAATAAAAATCAGTGTGCCACTCCAGAGTATATATATTCAGACTGGACTTAACCCAGTCTATCTGGTCTAAACTTGCCTCAGGAGGTCCGGGCTGGAAGCACCAGGGGTCCCAGGGATTCCTATTGTGAAATCTTCATTGGTCCCTTTGTCTTCTTTGGTCTTTCAGTCAGCTGTTTTCTACAAGTGCCTCTTTCATTTCAAGCTCTGCTCATGGAGTTTCTGACCTTGTAGAGCAGTCCAGCTGGGGAAATCAGACATTTCTAGTCAGATTTGGCTAAGTAATAATATATTTTTTAAGAAAGCCTGAAAATCCCAGTGGCTTACTCAAAAATGAGTATTTATTTCTCACTTATGAGTCTACAGGTCAGCTGGGACTCTGTTCTGTGTGTGCTCTCATTCTGAGACATGACACAGGCTGAGAGGATAGCCCCTATCAAGGTCCTGTTCTCATGGCAGCCTGCAAGGCTGAACCAAACCACACAGCATACATACATTGCTGTTTGCAAGGGCATAAATCATGTCTACCCACATTCCATCAGCCAAAGAAAGTCACATCGCTCATCCTGAGTATGGGACATAAAAGCACCATCTACTTGGAGTCATGACAAGGGTGGAGATGTACGATATTCTTACAGAAGGAGGAACAGATAGTTGGAAACAATAGTGAAACATACCACAGCATAAAAATGCTGGTAGGTGAATGATGCTTTCTTGAAGCATAAAAAAAAGGCAACCAGCTGTACCTGGGGCAGATCAGTTAAAGAAAGTGAAAAACATAAAAACTTGCTCCAAGGCCTTTGAGGGTGAATAGGAGTTTTCCAGTCTTAAAAGATTTAGAAAGCATTCTACATAAGAAAAACACCATGAACATTAACATGAATGCATTAAATAATGTATTGTATTCAGAAAACTGTGAGTAATCTTGTAAGAATGAATCACATTTGTTTTCGTTTCATCCTAGCTAGATAATAAGATTCTTCAGAGTATAAAACATACAAACACTTAAGATTCAAGAGGGATCACAGGAGAAAGGTGAGGTTTAGGAGATAGCGTTGTTCACCTAGATTCCCTAAATCTTTCTGAAACTTCTGAGACATGACAAAATGGCTAAGGATTCCAAACACCACAGAGTAATGGAAGGGCGGGTATAGAACTAAAGGTTCTGAAAGACGAGGAAAGAGAAACTGTTACTTACATGGGTCACTATGTTCAGAATATAAAAACAAACCACAAGAGGGTTCAGTTCTAGGTAAAATCAAATAACTCTCACCACCCTGTCTCTCCCACTGAATGCAGCTATGAAATCTGGATACAAGGAGCAGCTATTTAAAGACTTTGAAAAGTAGAAGGTATATAGGAAAGCAGACCAAAATCCAAAGTATTGCTAAACTGGTAGTGAGTTTACCATTGTTTTTCTCCAGTAGTTCCAGCCAGGACTTGAAGGAAACACTGGAAGAGGCAGGTATCAATGAGGACAGAGACAGCCCCCAAAAGAGGCGACTAATTCAGCTCAGTGAGCGGGAAGGAAGTCTACTGGTACCAACAGCAGCCGTATCCAGAAGAGTATGCATCTAAAACTCTGTAGAAGGAAATTTCTTCACTGATTGGAGGAGCTGTGGTCCCAAAAGAATGGAGTAAACCTCTGTTGCTTTTTTTTCTCTTCCTTTCCTTCCACCTCTTGGCCCCAGACACAAACACAGTCATGGGAGTACGTGGCAGTGGGTGGTAAATAAAGTCCTAAGTTCCTGACTGAAAGATTGAGAAGAATATCTCTAGAGAAGTGGAAAGCACCAGGGAGGTCACTGAGACGGAAGAACTCAGGAAACTGATTCCATAAGGAAATTCATGATCACTGAGACTCACCTTGAGCTGGACATGGGTGGGTCTAATCCTAAACAGCATAGTAAAGACTTTAAGAACTGAACCAAGATATAGACCACCTCCCAGGACCCAGAATTAGCCACTGGGTGATACACATGTGAGACAGATATGAATAGCACTGAATAGGCTTTGAAAATGGAAGAATATTTAACCACGTCCAACAGAGGATTGGTGAAAATGGGCAGCCTAAAGCCAACTGGGCTGATTCTCTGCTAAAACAAAAATGCCAACACATTCCCTTAGATTTAAGCAATAGGTACAGTTTCACAATATTCAAAATGTCCAGAATACAATCCAAATCTACTCAATAGATGAAGAACCAAGAAAATCTCAACTCACATGGGAAAAAGAAATAAACAGATGTCACCACCAAGGTGGCGTACGTGCTGAAATTATCCCGACAACGACTTGAAAGCAGCTACTCTAAAAACGCACCAGTAAGAAACTGCAAACACAGTTGAAACAGAGAGTTAGAAAATTTTGGCAAAGAAATGGAAGATTGAAAGAAGAACCGGATAGAAATTTTAGGACTGAAAAAATATAGCACCCAAAAGAAAAAAGTTACTGTATGGGCTTAAGAGCAAAATGGAGATGACAGAGGGAAGATTCAATGAACTTGAAAATAGATCTGTAGAAATTATCCAGTTTGAACAACACAGAGGAAACCTGTTTTTTAAAAAACGAATAGAACCTAAAAGACCTTTGGGACAATACCAAAAGATCTAATATTTATGTCATAAGAAGTCCAGAATAAAAGGAAAGAACATAATGTAAAACAAAATATTTAAAATAGAACAATGGATGAAAACTTTCTAAATTTTATGAAATATATGAAGTACAGTGAACCCCATATAGGATAAATATAAATAAATTCATGCCCAGACACATTATAATCAAACTGCTGAACACTAAGCACAAAGAAGATATCTTGAAAGCATCCAGAGAAAAATGATGCATTGCTGAGAACAATGATTTTAATTACTATGTATTTCTCATTAGAAACCATGGAGGCCAAAAGATGGGAACACATTTATAGAATACTCCTCCTGATAACAGCAGATTTTTAAATGCCCACAGATACAGCAAGATAGAACATATCCTGGATCATTATAAAATCTTCAACAAATTTAAAAGAATTTAGTTCATTCTAGAGTCCTCCAGAAAAATATCTCCAAGTTCATATAGTTGCACGGGTGAATTCTATCAAATATTTAAAAAAATAACATCAATTCTAAACAATCTTTTCCAGATAACAGAAGAGAAAGAAACACTTACAAATCATTTCATAAAGCCAGCATTACTCTCATACCAGAAGCAAAAGACTGAACAAGAGAGACAACCACAGATGCAAAACTCCTCAACAAAATAT